AGAAACCAAGTTTTCCGCGTAATAAGAACGAGGCTGCGTAGGAAATACTGACCGAAAAGTTGAAGACAAAATACAGCCGATTGGTTGTGGTCAGTATTATAGCCGTCTCTAAATGAGATTATATTGAAATCATATCGGCCGAAAATAACAATAAAAATCATCATCTATTTGTCACTGAATAAATTTCCACAAACACATTTTATTACGGTATGTAAAGTAAATATCTAATTTATTGTGTAGAAGACTGAAAATAAAATGGATATATAAATGACAATGCTGTTAAAATTATATATTCAAACACACACACACATACATACATACATACATACATACATTCATTTTATTATATTTTACGCCACGAAAAATGAGAGCCGTCGAGTCTAGTTTCTCACCTCTTCGACATCGAGGTACGTTGGTGAACCTGGTTCGGTTCTTGGTAGCGGATGCGCGCTGCTGATGATTCCCAAATTCGACAAAACAACTGCCAAGTGCATTTTGCTGAGGATTCTTCTAGGCTCGACGGATTAATAAATTGGATTTGTATTCAAGTGCCTCCAATAACTTCAATGTATATATATATATATATATATATATATATATATATGTGTGTGTGTGTGTGTGTGTGTGTGTGTATATATATATATATATATATATATATATTAAAAAAAATTAATACGGAGAAATACGTTCGCATCGAAACTCAAATGCATGTTGTCCATATGGTCTATATATATATATATATATATATATATATATATATATACAGTGTATCACAAAAGTGAGTACACCCTTCACATTTCTTCAAATATTTAAGTATATCTCTTCATGGGACAGCACTCAAAAAATTACCTTTTGACACAATGAAAAATAGTATGTCTGCAGCATATATAACAGTGTTAATTTCTTTTGCCCTCAAAATAACTCAAAATATAGCCATTAAAAGCTAAATCCCTGGCAGCAAAAGTCCACCCCTAAAAAGTGAGTACACCCCTAAGAAACTACACCCCTAAATGTCTAAATTGAGTACTGCTTTTCATTTTCCATCCGAAATGTCATGTGACTCATTAGTGTAACTATGCCCATGTGTTCATGGGGAGCAGGTGTATTCAAATTTGTAGTGCAGCTCTAACACTCTCTCTTACCGGTCACTGAAAGTTCCAACATGGCACCACATGGCAAAGAACTCTCGGAGGATCTTAAAAAACGTATTGTTGCACTACATAAAGATGGCTTAGGCTACAAGAAGATTGCCAACAACCTGAAACTGAGCTGCAGCACAGTGGCTAAGATCATCCAGCATTTTAAAAGAGCAGGGTCCACTCAGAACAGGCCTCGGGTAGGTCGTCCAAAGAAGCTGAGCGCACGTGCTGAGCATCACATCCAAATGCTTTCTTTGAAAGATCGGCGTAGGAGTGCTGTTAGCATTGCTACAGAGATTAAAGAGATTGGGATTCAGCCTGTTAGTGTTCAGACCATACGCCGCACTCTACATCAAATTGGTGTGCATGGCTGTCACCCCAGGAGGAAGCCTCTTCTGAAGGCAATACACAAGAAAGCCCGCAAACAGTTTGCTGAAGACATGTCAACAAAGCCCATAGTTTACTGGAACCATGTCCTATGGTCTGATGAGACGAAATTTAATTTGTTTGGTTCTGATGACCTTAAGCATGTGTGGCGCGACCAGGTGAGAAGTACAAAGACAAGTGTGTCATGTCTACAGTCAAGCATGGTGGTGGGAATGTCATGGTCTGGGGCTGCATGAGTGCTGCAGGTATTGGAGAGTTACATTTCATTGAGGGAAACATGAACTACAACATGTACTGTGAAATGCTGCAGAAGAGCATGATCCCCTCCCTCCAGAAACTGGGTCGCAGAGCAGTGTTCCAGCATGACAATGATCCCAAACACACATCCAAACAACCACTGCTTTACTGAAGATGCTGAGAAAAAAGGTGATGGACTGGCCAAGCATGTCTCCAGACTTGAACCCAATAGAACATCTTTGGGCCATCCTCAAGGTGGAGGTGCCCCGAGTCTCAAATATCCGCCAGCTCCGCGACGTCGTCATTGAGGAGTGGAAGAGCATTCCAGTGACTACCTGTGAAGCTCTGGTAAACTCCATACCCAGGAGAGTAAAGGCAGTTTTGGATAATGATGGTGGCCACACAAAATATTGACAGTTGACATGTTGTATGTTAATATTGACAACTTTTCCTAAGGGGTGTACTCACTTTTGTTGCCAGGGATTTAGCTTTTAATGGCTATATATTGAGTTATTTTGAGGGAAAAATGAATTAACTCTGTTATATGTGCTGCAGACAGGCTACTTTTCATTGTGTCAAAGTGTAATTTTGTAAGTGTTGTCCCATGAAAAGATATACTGAAATATTTGAAGAAATGTGAGGGGTGTACTCACTTTTGTGATACACTGTATATATATATATACATATATAATTTGATTTGCGTAGTACAGGAAAGTTCCCAATATCAGTGATAGAGCTAACATATTAATTTGTATGGATATGAGTTTATGACCCTGGGTTACATACTTTAGCGATATATCAGATAAACTCGTTTGCCTGATGATCGCAAAAACGTGAAACCTAGGATCACAAATTCGTATCCATACAACTGAACAAACACACACACACAACACACACACACACACACATATATATATATATATATATATATATATATATATATATATATATATATATATAAATAATAGGTATATGGTCTGGTCCTCCTCCTCCCCAATACTAAGTATGATTGAAAGGAATATTAAAATAAACCCCTCTATACGCGACCATGTCTCTCACACCACCCCTAATTAACCTCTCTCTTAAATTACAAAAACTTAATAATACCCATCAAAAGTGTTAATTTGCAATTCATTATTCGTTTCATCTTTAGGAAGTGCTATCTGATGATCCAGCGTTTTTAAAAAGGGCTCTGGTGAAATAAATTATTATAAATAACCTTAAAGCGGTCTGTTTTTCTTTAAAATATTATCTCTGGATTTACATTGAGCTCTCAAGATTTCATCCTCCTTGGGACTACCCAAACGGATTACCAAGTTTTATATATATATATATATATATATATATATATATATATATATATATATATATATATATATATATATATATATATATATATATATATATATATATATAGCATGGACACATATAAGTCTGTTGGGTGTGTGCTCGGTGTATAGTGGTGATGCCGTGTATAGTGGTTCATAATGGGAAATGGGAGAGCTGAGTTCGATTTCGGGTGGCATCCGTTACTTTGTTTAGAGGCATATACCTTTGGTAAAAAATGAATCCAATATTATCTGTGGATTCGAAATGTGTTTAACGTTTTTATGAAGATCTTGTAGCACACTATGTGAACCAATCCTCTGTATTCGGTTTCTACGCAGAATCTGATTGGTTCTTTCAGCACAATAATTAAATCAAATGCCAGAAAGATTGTCTGTTGTGTACTATGAATTGAGCTACTGCAAACATCATACGTTATACACCCAGCATATATATATATATATATATATATATATATATATATATATGTGTGTGTGTGTGTGCGTGTGTGTGTTTGTGTGTATGTATAATATATATATATATATATATATATATATATATATATATATATATATGCACACATCCAAACACATCTATATGTCTATATAAGTGTGTGTATTTGTATGTGTGTGCATATATCTTGTAGAAATGCATATATTTTGTATAAATGCATATATGTATGTTAAACATCTATATATCTATATGTATGTTAAAATCTATATATCTATATATATATATATATATATATATATATATATATATATATATATATATATATATATATATATATGCGTGTGTGTCTCTATTTATGGAGGCTTGTGTGTGTGTTTGTGTGTGTGTGTGTGTGTGTGTTTCATAATTGACTTATTTTGCAAAATTGAAATCTGAGCCACTGATGGGAAAAAATACTGGTCTAGAGCGATCGAATATGTTTTGTGCTGTTGATTGAATTGCGAGTTTTGTTCAATTCGGGTTGCTAAAAGGCAATAAAACAAAAAGCAAAGAAACTGGAATTCTGATAAAGGCATTTGAATTGCATTTCTGTCAAAAGGAAGAGTTGAATATAAGAAGGAAATATTTAATGTTCATTGAAGCGTAAACTCGCAGAATACCACGCGAATTCGGCAGTTCGGTGGAATTGACTCATGCAAATTGTTCCGACATAGAAAACACGAAATATACAAATATGATCAGGATTATCGGAGCATTGGTAGCTGGTTATATATAGATATTAACCAAGCATATCTTAGTCTTTTTTTTTTAATCGATTCACCCCGAGCAAGGCGGGAAGCCACTAGTACGCAAGGGGTTACAGAAGATTTGGAACGGGAGCAGCTAGGAGTGATAGAGGAAAGGATGAGGAGAAATCTAGTGGAGAGATCAAGACAACTAGAGATATCGATTGGCATTTGAATAGTAAAATATTGGTTAAAAATTGGAAAACTAAATATATCTATCTATCTATCTATCTATCTATCTACCTATCTATCTATATCAGTCTGTTCATTATCTATCTATCTATCTATCTATCTATCTCAGTCTGTTCATTATCTATCTATCTATCTATCTATCTATCTATCTCTACATATTTACGTATTGTTACAAGATAAGTATGTGGTTGCTGTTGTGTGGCCGACCTCCTCCTCTTATTCTTTTTCTTCTTCGCCTCCTTTTTCTTCATCTACATGCCGTGCCTCATCATAATGTGAGACATATTAGCTCTCCATAACTCCCTAAACCTTGTGCAGCTCAGGAGAGCTTCTGCCTTTGTTAAAACTCCGCGATTCCCCTCCCGCAATCCATTCACACTAGCTCGTCAGGTAGATAGCTCAATGCCTTCACGTGTCCTTTGTGCCCTTGTCATGCCCAGTGCGTGTTTGGTTTTCCAAACTCTCCATCCTTATTATATGT